CCTTCTACTCCTCCTCCTCCTCCTCCTCCTCCTCCTCCTCCTCCTCCTGGTCTTTCTCTTTGCTCACATGACGGCAGAGACGGGCGTGAAGGAAGATCATGATGTGAAGGAGGTCGAGGACTCAGGCAAGAAGAATTTCTTTGGCAGGAAGAAGACCAAAGTCAAGAACCCTGCTCCCTCCTCCTCCGCTGCTGCTGCTGCTGATCCTCCTCGACCTCCTCCTCCCCTCCTGGGCCAGCTCAACCGCCTGCTCCTCCTCCGGCGCTGGATGGACCTGCTCTTCGAGCAGAGCAGCCGGCTACCTGAAGACGCCTGCATAGTGCTCCTGACCGCCCTCTACCGCCTCTCCCTCTCCTCCCTCCAGGACCTCAAGGCCGGTGCCCTCGACCTCGGCTGGACACACTCGGGGAGCCTGGGGGAGCTGCTGTTCGGTGTGGAGAGGACAGTGAGGATCGCGCGGGGGAACCTGATGCGGCTGGAGGGGCTGTGGGGAACGATTTCTGTTCACTTGTCGCACGTGTCGTCGCATGCTCGTTCGGTCATGCGGCAGCATGGGATGCTCTACTTCTCCGAGCTGATGAACGAGGCCTTCAACTTCGCGTGCTCGGCTGGGGGGGAGCAGGGCGGGGAGGAGGAGCGAAGGAAGGACGGGAAAGGGAAGGACGAGGGAAGCTCTGCTAGCCTCAAGAAGAAACTGATCGGGGCGTACGAGGACATGTTCAAGTGCTCTTACAGTGACACCAAGAGCCTCGTTCTCTCCAGCCTCCATCAGCTGCTCTCTTCCTACGGTATGAACATCCAGTCTGCCTGGCCCTCCATCCTTCACTTCCTCCCACTCGTCGCTCAGGATCCAGAGAGTCAGCAGGTGCGGCAGGGAGCCACGTGCCTCGCCTACGTGTGCGATCACCTTCTGCTCTCCCTCTCGCTCCCCGACGTCGAGCAGCTCCTGCAGTGCCTCCTCCTCTTCGCCTCTCAGGACGTGGATGCTGAGTCGAGCCTGCGGGCGATCGCGATGACGCGGGACGTGGGAAGGTATCTGATGGGCAAGCTCTGCCGCCAGGAGTTGGAGGGGAAGGAGGAGGAGAGGAGGAGGGCAGAGGTCACTCGCTCGGTCCTGTCCTCCTTCGCCAAGCTGGTCCAGCTAGGGAGGGACAAGAGGAGCAGAGTGAGGGAGGAGGCGATCAGCACGGCAGTGGAGATGAGTCTGGGGCCCGAGGACAAGTGCGCGCATGTCATGATCAGCTTCCTTGGGTCCCTCCTCCTCCCCTACCTCCAGGAGACCTCCGGCTGGATGGAGACGGTGGAGCAGGAGAAGAAGAACTTGCACAGGCAGTGGCTGAGGACTTGGAGCGCGGGGATGCGGGGAGCAGCCAAGGTGCTGAGCGAGCGGATGGCAGGGGCTGGGAAGGGAGGGAAGGAGGAGGAGGAGGAGGTGTGGGGGTTGTGGGATCCCTTCCTCCATCTGTACAAGTGGAGCCTGCGCAGTGAGAACATGGCGATCGCATGCGAGGTGACGAGCGAAGTTTGCGCGCTGATGTCGAGGAACATAGTCCAGCTGCCACTGAGCTGCTGGACGAGGCTGTGGCAGGAGGTGGAGGAGAGGATGCGGGAGCTCTGCGAGGATGAGCGGGTGGAGATAGAGCGCATGTGGCTGATCCTCTCCGAGCTGACGGCGGTGCTGCAAGAGAGCCGAGCAAGTGCAGGGGAGAAGCTGAGCAGAGAGATCATCGCGAGCTACGTGGACATGCTCAGCTCGCTGGCTGTGAGAGAGTGGAGGAAGAAAGGTGACGTCCTCCTCCTCCACAGCAAGGGATCAGTACCTTCCTCCCCGTCCCCAGGCGAGAGAGGGACGGAAGAGGAAGCGGGAGGGGGAGGGGAGGGGTTGATGAACGAGCGGATGGCGCAGCAGTTTGATGCTCTCGTCCTCCTCCTCGACAGCTTCAGCGCAGCTGAGAAGATCGACCTCTGGAGGAAACTCTTCGCCTCCTTCTCCTCCGTCCTCCCCGGCAGCTGCAGCAGCAAGGAATGGTCGTCCCACCTCAAGGATGGGAAACCCAGGAAAGATCCTTCTCCCTCCTCGTCCTCCCCCTCCTCGTCCTCCCCCTCTTCCTCCCACCAGCACAGCGTCGCCGTCACTTCTCGAGCAGCGTTGGCCCTCAACTTTCTGTTCGAGCGGGCAGGGGAGGAAGTGCAGCCGCGAGTCTTCGAGGAAGCGATCCTCCGCCTCCTCCTCGCCTTCTCCTCGTCAGGACCAGGAGGAGCCCAGCAGTCGCTGCGGCTGCCGGTGGCTCAGGTGGTTGAGAAGATCGTGGAGATCGGCATCTCCCAGCTGAAGGCCCTGGAGGAGGAGAGCCAGCGGAGAATCTGGACGTGTATGATCGAAGGGTTCAGAGAGGTAGAGAGAGGAAGAGAGCGAGAGGGGGGAGGAAGAAGAGTGGAAGGAGCAGGACAAGAGCAACAATGAGGAGGGGAACGAGGACGAGGACGAGAGGGAGGAGGATGAGGAGAATGAGGAGAGGGTCAGAGCGAGAGGAGCTGAGGGTGTTGGCAGGCGATTCTCTGTGTGGAGAAGAAGACGAAGAGCGAAGCAGAGCTTGTGGACGAGACATGGTGAAGCTCCTGATGAGAAAGGGGGGGAGGGAAGAGGAGGCAGGGGGAGGGGAGGAGGGGGAGGGGGAGGGGAGGAGGGGGAGGGGAGGGAGGGGAGGGGGAGGGAGGAGTTACGTGGAGTGCGAGGCGTGTCGCGTGCTTGCCTCTTTGTTTTGTTTTCCCTATTTTTAATAATAAGGGGCT